AGACCACATCACTTGCTCAGTGGTGGTGCACTTCCATCTCTTCCATCCAAATTTAATACCATTATTTTCAAGCAATGTTTAAAAAACTATGACATCCATTATTATGTGAATAAGTAAGTATTTCAATTATAACATTTTCAAATACATTAGTCTTTTGTGAAAGGATTGTCAGTAATCAAGTAAAAGACATTTGACGCAATTAAATTATTAATTTCGTTTATTGTTTTACTTATTCTGTGAACGGATGTTTAATTAAAGACCTCAAATCTTAAGTTATTCAAATGATGTTTATGATTGATTTACACCCTAAAGTAGATAATTTTAATCATGTTTTAATAAATGGTAGAAAGGGAGAGGACCATTATTTCAACACGAAACTTGCCTTCTTGCACAAAATTGGGATATCGAAAATAAATCAGAGATTACTCTTTATTCCATTTAAAGCACTGAAACTCTTTAGAAAGAGTTATGAATATACACAATGTGGATACACCACTTACGGGACTGTCCCGTCTTTATTCTCGTAAACACAATCACCACGTTTAATACTTCCAAAGCTCATTCTATCTCGTATAAGCTCATTTCATCGATCTAAAAATACTGCCAACCAACAACATAACGGTCCATCTACAGGCTCGCTCCATTGTCCGTACAGTGAACACGGCCACCGGATAACGCTTTCCCCGCAAGCCCATTCCGCAGGGGGGGCTATCGGATACGGGGGTGGGGGCCCAGACAGATGGGTGGTGGTGTTTAAAAATTTCACCCGCCACTGATTCGCGGCCCACACAATGCCCATAATCAGCGATTGCCTTTTGAAATCGAAACGGTTGTTAAACATTTGGCCCCGGGTCCCGCATACCGCTGCAGTGTGCGGAACCTCTTTTTGGAGCGTGGAACGATTATAGCGTTTTTTTTTATTTGATTCCGCTGCAATAAAATGTACTGGCCCTTAAACATCACCGGTATGTGCCATCGTACTTGCGGAGTTTGTTTTAATTTAAGTAATTTTGTCATGGCCATCATCCTCCTACCCTTATCCCACCTACGTCGGGTCAGCTCTACATGTGAATCGTGCTGTAAGCGGTTTTGGCTAAGTTTTTAACTACCTGACGTCTACTCTCCTTGGGAAACAAATACCCAGATCCGGAACAATTCCTTTAAGTTACACAAATACTTGTCCCGTGTGGGAATCGAACCCACGACCCCCAACCCGAAGCCAATAGCTTAGCAACGGCGCCACCGTGTCTTTACTGCGTTTTAGTTTGATTTCATCCAGTCGTTAATATTTAGTCACCCGAAAGGTAGTTTTTATAAAGTTTTTGTTATGTCAAACAGTTTTGAGGCGAAGACTTTAGAGTGAAAAATGTGCACATATTTTTTTTAAACATTTGATTTAAATTATTTCAATACTTTTTATTTTAGTCATGATAACCCATTGTCCGGGCGGTGGCTTTTAATTCAATATACTCGAGCAACCTGTTAATTTTAAGCGCTGACTTAACGTGCTCAGCGGTGAAGGAAAACAGCGTGAGGAAACCTGCATTTTTTCGAAATAACAACAAAAAAAATATTTCGAAGATATTTGAAGTCCGCCAAACCGCAGTGGGGCCGCGTGATGACATGGCTTTTAAAATCGTTTCTTATTGTTAAAGGTTATCTACAACTACCGATTTTAGCTGCATGTTATCTCTCCATCATTTAGTGACAAAGTTGTAAGTAGATAACATCTGTTTTGAAGCCTAGCATGTGATGTACTAGCGAATACAATGAACGCAGTGTAATTCAACTAAGCCCACGTCGAATGGAGAATGAAATTAGGATTAGGACCGCGGATTTATTCCGGGCCACGCGTGCGCCCACGCGTTATATTGTTTAATTAACGCCTTCATCGCGCATATGACCATAGATCTAATCGCGAAAAATCGATATTATTGGACTGTAATCGGTTTAGCTCATTCCAATCGATTTACTGTGACGTAGGATAAGCGTACGTGCGTCTTATTACTTAGGGAGGAGGATCGATTCTCCTGTACCACGCAACATATTTTTCGGTGACTGTGTTTGACTGTTGTAGTTTTTTGTTAATATTTGTTACGTGACATTGATGGATCTTGTACGGTTGACGGGAATAAAATCACCTTGTTAGTAATTTCGTGTATACCCTAATACTTTGAATTTTTCTGGGAAATGAAATTGACAAAGAAAAATTTCAAGGGGTTTTTTCCCAAGAGAAGCTGCCGGTAAATGTAATTTATGGCTAGATTACGCGATATGATGTAGAAAGATATTTATATTTTTTCTTAACCTTAAAATCGATGTGTCTTCATACTTTAGTTTAAGATTAAGCACAAGGTTTTTTGTATCTTTTACTACGTGTTACGTTGACCATAGACTTAACAATGAACAATGGCCCTGACAAAAAGGTCAAAATGTAGTGTTATGATCTTATGATACAAATAAACGCAACTTAAATTACAGGCTGAAACAAAATTCTTTTTGAATTTATTGTTTTAAATCAAATCTGATTTATACAGCATTCTAAGCCATTTTATTTATATGCTGAGTATATCGTATTTTGTCCATAACAAACGTGTTTGTTATGTATGGATCATCACTAATATTTTAATATTGTTAACGTCAAAAATCAGCTCTTAGTCTATTTTAATATAACGAGTATGCTACGTAAGTTTGAATAAGAGTGGATCTAAGAAAGAAAGAAAAAAAAAAACGAAAATACATTTATTTACCAAAAAAAGGACGCACACAATAAAAGAGAGAGAAAAGCTAAAATTAACAAAAAATAAAACAAATAAAAAAGTACTTATAAATAATTCAGTAAAGCAAAAGAACGCAAAAGAATTAAATGAAGTATCAATACAAATTTGGAAATCATCCTAAGAAACTAGAATTCTTTGACCACATTTGCAAAACAGAGAAAAAGATTATCACAAAGTGCATGCGAGCAATCAATGAGTTTGCAACAGCGGCTTTATTTAGCTCCCACTATGTGTGACTAGCGAGAAGTCTTTTCAATAAGTAACTTAGAACATGCTGTATAATATTTTTTCCGGTCGACCACAATCTGACCGTTACATTTCAATAATCGTCTTAACAGTGAAGATTGCTTATCAGCCGCGCCTACTGGCTCTAGTGATGCACGTTACAGATTAAAGAACTTGGAGACAGAAATGTTAAAATTTTAGACCGTAAATGATCTCTACTTCTCTATTTTGATAAAAAAAAATTATATTCAAATATTTGACTTTCTTCCATGTTTAAGCTCGCAAAATATCACATTTTCTTGTACGTAAAAAAAGTACCAACTAAATCCGTAATATTTCATTCCTACGTTTTATGAATATTTTATAAATGTGATTGCCTGATTTAATATTATTCACACGATATTGATAAAAAATTACTATTTTAAGAAACTATTAAATGGTAACTTGTGTTTCGTAGTAAATATTTAAGTCGTATCAAATTCCACATTAATTTTTAAAGTAAACAATTTTTTTATATAAATTTATTAGCAAAAATGAACTTATTGTTTCCACGCTCCTCCCTAAGCTCGTTTGGTCGTAATACAGTACGACGGTGTCCACAATAAAATTTGTCCCGGACTCACAATGAGCAATCAAATTACCGTCAAGATATCGGGGAGCGCCTTGACCGTTTGATTTCGATCCTTCCCCGCTATCTAAGCAAAAGATCGTCATACCCTGGAGTTTGATTATCTTCTAAGCTAACCAATTTAGCATGACAAGAGCAAGAAAGAACGCGTTACATGACAAAAGAAAAATTGAATAATTAACTAATTTCTGTAATTCCACAAAGCGTCAGATGAGAGCTAAATTTCTGGAAACTTGGTCGTGTTGGACTATTTTTTTTTTTAATGTGAAAGGTGCCAAACGAGCAGACGGCTCACCTGCTGTTAAGTGAATACCGACGCCCATAGATATCTTCTACACTCGAGGGTTGCATGACAACCTTATGAAAACTGGGCTCCGGCCACCTCATTCACCAGACGAAACGCGAAAGTATATTTCCACTTTACGCCGGTCTTCTGTGTCGTCGTGGTACTTACCCGGACGAACCTGCCCATTCGTGCAACAGCCGAGGCTGCTACGTAGCCCTACCACCGTGAATTTATAATAAACAACTTTATAATTAATTATATTTGCCATAATATAGAACTTTATAAAAAAAAACTTTATATTTACATATGTCCATGGTTTTAAACAAACGAACTAAAATAAAATCTCAATTAACCTAACATATAATCTTCGGTGTAAAAATGACAACAAAAATAAGCAATAAACATTTGTAATTTTTTGAAAAGAAGAGATCTTCATTTTAAGAAAAAAAAAATGATTTAGGTAAATCTAGTAAGCTCTTTAAAACTATGATTATATCAATTGCTGAACTCGGATGTACGAAGAATAGCATATATTAACTACTTACGAAGAATTGCATATAATGCTTCAATTAACGAGTTTAAATTTTACTAACCAATTGCATATTTTGAGAAAGTAAAAAAAGAACTTGTAAGAATTATTCCTGATTTTATTGACAATTTCATCGTTCGGATATTGCACGAGTTTAATTCGACAGCAAGACGCACTAGTAGTGCGGACCGTTCTGCGCTATCTCTTACCGTGATAGCATTACATATAGATTTCAATATCAACAGTCTTAACCCGCACGTGTACGTGATCCAGGCCCGCGTATATTTCATAAGATTTTAGAGGTGCATGAATCACGCGGGACACGAAAGGGCGATCAGTCACGGCTGCCGACGTATGGAGCCCTTCGGACCTTTGCCTTATTAGAATGCACGCCACGCGCCCACCCTAGGCCCAACACTACGATATGTGAGAGCTATTACTAGACACTTTGCCCGTGTTAATATCGCTGTAAATCTCCTATCGGATAGCGTTTCCATCTTCGCTCGATTTAGTTTATTTAAGAGGTAACATATTTTTTTTCTTTGCCAACAGAACCGAGCAACTACGTCTGTTCAACGTGCAAAGCGCGCGTGCATTCTGCATGGAGGCTGCTTCAGCATGTTCAGCACGTGCACGGAGTCAAAATCTACGTTGAGAGTATGCCACAACCCCAGAACAAGCAGAATCACTCGTCGTCTAGTACGTCCTCATCGAGCTCCGGGTGTTCTTCTACCGGTGCCCCATTACCGCCACCTTCGCTGCGTCACCACCCCTTGCTTCCACCTCCAGACATGCACTCGCCGTTTGGAGTTGGTGGTCTCCTCCGGATGCCGTTACCCGGCAGCCTACCACCACTAGCCCACCCATCGGTGCCGCCGGCACCATTGTTCGCGCGGCCCAACCACCATGACCATCGCTTTCGAATGGAGCAATTGGTTTCGGAGCAGTTTCGACATCATGGCCTCAATCTGGCAGCGGCAGCAGCAGCTGTAGCGGCGAACTCGCTACCACCCCACCAACCATTCCCGTCACCAGCAGATCGCTCCCCAGCGATACCGACATCACTCACGGCTCGGGACCGACCACCAGTATCACAACCTCTATCACTTGAACCCCAGCTGGATTTTTACTCGCAGCGCTTGCGGCAACTGGCCGGTACGACCAGTCCAGGGGCGGCCACAGGCAATTCGAGCTCTCCTAGCCCCAGGAAGCATTCTCCGCCGTTCGCTTCCCCGTCGCCCTCCCGAGTCGGCCAGACTCCACCGGCGGGCGCCGGACCCGGAACGGTGGACGCGCCTCGAGAAGCCACGAGGCCTCACACTTCGGTTTCCCCCGAAAGGCGGACCGAGCCCCAGGCGGCCGACGCGCCACCAACAGAACGCATGACCCCGCCTGTGAAACGCAATAATGACGAAGCAGTGCACACTTGTGAATTTTGCGGTAAAAAGTTCCGATTTGAAAACAGCTTGATGGCTCATCGTCGATCGCATACGGGTGAAAAACCTTTTAAATGTACCGAATGCGATGAGGCTTTCGAAAAGGCGTCGAAACTCAAGCGTCACATGAAGGTCCACCGAGCGGCCGACGCGAATGCCGAAGAGGGTGAGTCTGGTGGTGATACTGGAGACGATGATACGGAAGATGAATTGGAAGATGAAGAGTTAGATGGAGAGGAAGAAGAAGATAATGAAGATGGCGAAGATGTTGAAGAAGCAGAAGATCTAACAGTCTCAAATAGCAGCGCACCTTCCGCACCCACTCGTAAACAAACCCCAGCGATACCTGCTCACCCACCGTCCGCATCTGTAGTTGGGGAGCTGATGGACAAATTTGGACTTTCAAATATCGCGCAATACAGCGAAGCTTTTAAACAGGCTCTGCAAGAATCAGGGAATTCACTTAAGTGGCAGCTGGCGAAAGATCGTGACAATAATAACGGCCCTCCGTCTGATAAACCAAACGGAATGCCACCCACCGCCGCCTTGCGCTTAAAGGAAGAATTTGCCAAAATGCCGCCACAACACCATCCGCTGTTCAACCCTTTTGAGAACCCTTTCGAGGCGTCCAAACGGATGAAGCTTGATATGGAAAGGGGTGAAGGCTGGTGGCTGCCAACACTACACGCACAACGGCCGCCGGAGAACATATTCGACGGCCTTAAGAACAGCGGGAATGGATTATTACAAAACTCCTTGCTTAAAACGAAGGACGGTCGACGGAACGACACCTGCGAGTTCTGCGGGAAGGTGTTCAAGAACTGCTCGAACCTGACGGTGCACCGGCGGTCGCACACCGGCGAGAAGCCGTACAAATGCGAACTGTGCTCGTACGCTTGCGCGCAGAGCTCTAAACTGACCAGGCACATGAAGACGCATGGCAGGCTGGGTAAGGACGTGTACCGGTGCCGCTTCTGCGAGATGCCCTTCTCGGTTCCGTCGACGCTGGAGAAGCATATGCGCAAGTGTGTCGTGAATCAGAGCAACGGTGCGGCCCTCGCTCTGTCCGACGACTCCAACGCCTGCCGCGACGAGGCGTCGTGACTCTACCCGTGGGGTGGCCTACGCTTGCCACCGCCAGTGCCGCCCAGCCAAATCTTCTAAGCCCGACGACGGCAGACGTGTTCTACGTCTCACCATATCCTTCTCCGAGCGTGTCGATTGTTCAATTTCTAGTCTTAAGGGAGTATAAAGCAACTGTATTAGCAATTGCTGCCCTAAAATTCAAGGCACCGAGGGGCATTAATTTATCCGCTGTATATTAGTGACATATCTTGTGTAATGAGCGTTGAACGATTCCAGTTGTATTGTTGATGTTGGTTCGAGTTTTTTTTTTCTCCTTTATTTTGGTTATATCATTGGAGGCTGTACTAGGATCTTTATGTTACGTTCTATCGTTTTATTGATTGTAAAAAAATCGAGGAAACCAATGCCAAAGTTAAGCTACGTTGATTTACGATATATTTTAATTACTTAAGCTGTATAGTGTCAATTAATACAATTTTTCCAGTATTTAATAAGATCTTTATAGTTCGGTAGTGATATGTGTTTTTTGGTGTAAGTTGTTTAGTAATTTTTAGGATATTATGTACAAGCAAATGTTTCCTATCCTAGATAAACTTCTGTAAATAATTGACTTAAGTGTAATATGTAAATGGAGTACCTACCTATGGATGTTCATGTATAAAAATCATTGACATTGGACAAAAATTAAATAATAAAAATTTTCGTCAAAAATACGGTGAGTTTCCTGTAATCGATAAATCTAGCAATGTAGAAAGCGAAAAGGGAATCGATTATAAGGATAGGTGTTAATATAACATGGTCTTTATTAGTATTTAAATCGACTAAATTAAAAATCATTCGACATGGATTCCTCGCTTTCTTTTTTGCAAATGGAAACTAGATATTTTGTTAAGACTGAATTATATTCCAGTTTTGTTTGTTTTGTTTTTAAAATAAATGTTTCCTTGTGATTTTAGATTCACGGAAGAACCTTCACTAGTACCTAAATTAGTCCAAGTGTGAAATCTTTCAGTATACGTACTTAATGTAAATTATTATAGAATTTATATTAGATAATTGTAAGTAAATTATAAATAGTAAACGTTTTGTCTCCGAAATCGGTATTCTTATATTTAACTACATTAGAGCCCCTTCACATTATGTGCAAATGTTACAAATCTGGAGATGACATTATCTGGATGGGCCCTAATTGATCAAATGTAAAAAAATAAATGTTGTCTATTTCAAATAGTCCACGAGCCATTTCAGCATCGGCTGAAATGACTCGTCGATAAAGTTTGAACATGTTTACTATATATCGTGCTTGCCGATTAAATCCAAATTAACTGTAATAAAATTATTTCTGTAAATTAGAGAGGTTGTTAAATTATATCATTGCTCATTAATTAATAACTTAAAAACTATATGTACCGTCATCCTCGCAAGACTTAAAATCAATCAATCATCCATACTCTTTCATTAAAACGATATTGCCCTCTAAATTCACTTTACAGTCTTTGAATTAACATTAATTTCGCCGACTTTATGTTTTGCGGGGATGAGGAATTGATGTTTGAAATGTTTTTAGTGATAAATTTTGATTCAGAATGTTTAGTACAACCGTTAAGCCGACGGCCGGAGACAAAATAGCGAACACAAAAAAAAAACTAAGACAAATTTTATCGTGTAACTACTATGTGAAAGATGAACTGTTTTTATTATTTTTCATTTTTATTATTTTTATTTCAATAAATATCCACGATTTGTTATTCAAGGGTGTTGTTTGATTTCGGTCGTTTTCATCGCAATGGAAATGTGAATGGTTTAAGTTATGAAAGTCACCAACTATACCTTTTAATCCGCTGTATTATTTAATGTAGAGATTTGGAGTGCACCAACATATTAGGTTCAAATAACAACCTGCATAGGCTAACCTACTGGATTCTAAATCATACGAATTATTTAAATGGTAACAAAAGAAAAGTATGTTTATCAGTTTACAGTAGGTTACTAACTTATTGTACAAGTTTTGCTTAGTTTGGGACTAGATAATTTTGTGTACATACTTGTCATTTAATGTTTCTTTTTTAAATAAAGTGAGAAGTGAGCACTTAAAATTTAAAATTTCATCGGTGCCGGCACCGGGGATCTAACTCAGGTTGCTTGAGTACATTGAATTAAAGGCGAGCGCCTGGACACTGACGTATCATGAATTATAACTTGATATGAGAATAAATTTTGGTAATAGATAGAAAGAAAATTTAAGACCTGATACAAATTCAAATCCAAATGTATCAATTATTCAGATTTAAATATTCGACACAGAAGCATTACACTCACTTATTGGTTGTCAAAGTACCACTACCGGTTCGGAAAAGAAAAGCCACGGACCTGAGAAGAATCGGCGGAAAAAACTCTATTGGCTAGATTTTTTCCGACCGGCCGCGAACCTTACGTCTACCATTTTTGAGGACAAACACCCAGACCCGTAACATGTTTGGATGGTTATACCTGCTCTGTGTAGGAATCGAACCCACGAATACCAGCGCCAAAGCCAACCAAATAATAACGTAAGAAAGAGACGTCTACTATTTTTGCAAGATATTAGGACCAAAACGTGACTCTACCGGTCACAAGGATATGACGAATATTAGTCAAAATATGTTCCGAAGTTAGAGTTAAACGCATAAAGTAGCTCGTTACACGTTCACAAACGGAAAATGAATTTTTAAAGCCAGTTGTAATGACTTGCATAGAAAGGTCGCTCGTAGTTTTACGTTCGCTTCGGCGGACAACTTTTAGTGTTTTGAATAATTTAAACATGCACTAAAACAGAAGTTGTTACCACCTGCCACTATTTCAACAGACATTTATAACAGCAGACATCTGAAAGACAGTATAGTGGCTAATATATTTATATAATAAGCAGTAAAGTGATTAAATGGACCTAAAAAGCCAAAGTATTTTTATATTCTACTTAATTATTATTTTTACAGCTCAATGACTCAATGTTTGTCTTGACATTAACTATGAGAGCCATTTAAATGTTAATTGTATATAATTATGTGTCAAGCAATATGATCATAATATAATGTTACTCCAAATTATGCAAAAATAACGTAATTTTTAAGACAATAGTCAATATTGAATACTCTTTTTTTTACATGGGCAGTGTAAATTAACCTTGTAATCATGAATCATGACCAGTATTTTGATCATGAAATAGAATTTAAGTGATTTGTTAGTAAAACTATTTTATGGGATATCCACACACGTTTGTTATCCTAATTTTTTTACTTAAAACTTTATGCCCATAAAAAGTACAATGGCGGACTTAACACCATTAGGTGTTCTCTACCAGTCAACTGACAAATAAGTAGAGAAAATAAAGAGGTGGGGAAGAGCCAAATGAGAATTAGTGAAAAATATGATTTTATATAAAATATTACATATACACGTATACTAATATTTATAAAAATAGTATATATACAGTACATATACAAACACAAATATATACCTAATCTCGTATAATTTAAGGAAACTGTTGTGATGTCTTAGTTAGCTCCGATTTCAGCTTTTTTTTTTATTCTTTTCCCGACATCGTTCGCAGAAGAGACAAAAGGTAAAATAGTTTCATTTACCAATATCTTGTTTTATTATTATATTTTTTTAAATAACCAAATGATTTGATAAAATTACTTGATTACTATCTAAATCAAATATCAAATTCCTTAACTTAAACTTAAATATTAAATGGGTTCTTTATACTTTCAAGAACGTTTTCTCCTAACAACTAGCGCCATCTAATGATGGAAGGCGGACATATTAAGAGTTATTGAAATAAAGACAAAATATTGAACGAACCGTACTAAGTTCTAAAACGTGACTAACTCTCCACTTGAAAAAGTCGAATAATAAAAAAATATGTGTGTACTTATCTACGCGCGTAATAAGTTATATTACTTTAGCGTAACCAAAAAAATATGTACCTATGTGGCGTAACAAAAGAAAAATAACAAAATGTTATCACCTGTGTATCCCATTACTCTTTCGAAGTAAAAATTAAATGCAATTGATAACGGTGTAATTAAATAACTTTGAATTATAGGTAAATATGCTCACTGTCCGTGATAGCTCAGTGTCCGGGCGCTCGCCTTTAATTCAATATACTCGAGCAACCTGAGTTCGATCCCCGGTGCCGGCACCAATGAAGTTTTTAACTTTAAGTGCTGACTTATCACGTGCTCCGCGGTGAAGGAAAACATCGTGAGGAAACCTGCATATTTTCGAAATAATAACAAAAAAAATATATTTCGAATATATGTGAAGTCCGCCAATCCGCAGTGGAGCCGCGTGGTGGACTATGCCCTGATACCCTCTGAATAGAGGAGGCCTTTGCCCAGCAGTGGGACATGTATAGGCTGTTACTTTATGCTCACTGTTCGGGAGTTCGCTCTTAATTCAACATACTCGAGCGACCTGAGTTCTATCCCCGTTGATAGCCCCAATGAAACTGTAAATTTTAAATGCTGAATTATCACGTGAAAGAAAACATCGCGAGGAAATCTGATTATTTTCGAAATAATAAGTAAAAATGTTTCGAAGATATGTGAAGTCCGCACATCCGCAGTGGGGCCGTGTGGTGTAGTATGCCCTAATACCCTCTGTATAGAGGATGCCTTTGCCCATCAGTGGGACATTATAGGCTGCTACTTTACTTTTGCTATTTACAATTGGTTGCCTTGCTTATACCGTGAATTTGCTCGCTTTGCAACCATCTTCATCATGTCACTTTTTGCAAGTATTCAAAAATTCATTGGTAGAAACCATCATGATAGGTTCATATCATTTACATAGTCTGTAGTATATACGTAGTCTCATAAACAGATATTATTAACAACAAAATAATCTGAAATGTATAATTAAAATTACTACTAAGAGTTCTTAATCCAATAAGTGTTGACAAATGCATTGTTGTTGAACCTTACCGATAAATATTTTATTACTAACATTTTATATAATTCTTTATAACATAA